GGAGGGCGTGGACCAGTCTTAACTTTTATAAAGAATATCTCTTTGGGTTTGAGACTTTAGTCTTTGCAACTTTAGGTATCTTATCTATTCACGAACAGCTTGTAACACTCCAAAGAGAAAGGAAAACTTGAAATCGCATCATATGACCCCTTTAAAGTCTTTGTCAATTGTCACTTTGTAAGTCTCCTGTCACCTTTAATCAGTTTATTGCATTTTTGCTGAATAAAAGCATTAATTTCTCTTGTGCAAATAATAAACATTTCCCTGTGCTCTCCATACAGCAGATGGAGGCCGGTGTGGAGGGCGCAGAAGCGATGAGTCTCGCCGTTCAAGATTCAGAAGCCCTCGCTCTGCCCCAGGAGCTGATGTCTGCAGAAGGACAGCAAACCACCCTCATGGTGACCGGACTGACTCCAGAGGAGCTGGCTGTGACAGCAGCGGCTGAGGCTGCAGCACAGGCTGCGGCTACAGAAGAAGCGCAGGCCCTTGCCATCCAGGCTGTCCTACAGGCGGCTCAGCAGGCTGTGCTCAGTAAGTGTACGAGAGACTGCCGTATGCGTTATGATGTATACAGTAGGGCTTGAATTCTCAGCTTGGCTTGACTTTGTCTCAGGTGAGGGAGACGCAGGTCATGGCGGCCAGCAGTCCACCACCATCCCTATAGTGTTGACTCCGCAGGAGCTCGCTGCTCTGGTTCAGCAGCAGCAGCAGCTCCAGGAGGCGCAGGCGGCCGCAGCCCAACAGTTAACCGCTGAAGCAGCCGCAGCTGCACTGCCCACCGAAGGCTTGGCACCAGCAGACAGTCTCAACGACCCAGCGTCTGAGAGCAACGGCCACGAGATGACAACTGCTGTTGCGGGAGCTGTGGCCCGTCTCCTTCCACGTACTTCTGCAGAGAGTAAGAGATGTTTGTTTTTGTTTTTAAATGATCATTTTTAATGGTGCAAACAAAAATGCTTGGTGACACTTTACAGTACAGTCCCATTTCACAAAAAAAAATAAAATTTGTTGAAAATGTACTCACTTAGGCCATTCAAGCTGTAGATGAGTTTGTTTCTTAATCATAACAGATTTGGAGAAATGTGGCATTGCATCACTTGCTCAGCAATGGATCTCTGCAGTGAATGGGTGCCGTCAGAATGAGTCCAAACAGCTGATAAAAACATCACAATAATCCACACCACTCCAGTCCATCAGTTAATGTCTTGTGAAGTGAAAAGATGCATTTTATCAGCTGTTTAAAGTCTCTCACTCTGATGCCACCCATTCACTGCAGAGGATCCATTGGTGCTAAATTTCTCCAAATCTGTTCTGATGAAGAAACAAACACCTTTTGTTCTCGGCTTGCATGAGGGTGAGTATATTTTTAGCAACTTTTAATTTTTGGGGTGAATTATTTCTTTAAATTATGTAGTTAACTAACAAACGGAACCTTGTTGTAAAGTGTTACCAAATTAGTTAAGGTGTTTTTTTCTAATAATTTAGTTTTATGATCAAATCTGCTGGTTTTTAGTGCATGCTAAAAATACCTTTCTTTTGCTGCAGCTCTAGCCCCATCAATTACTTTTGCACCATCTCAGCCGATGGTGGTCGCTAGTCCAGCCAAGATGCAAGCGGCCACTGCTTTAGCTGAGGTGGCCAATGGGATTGAATCAGCAGCTGGGGTAAGTTTACTGGTGGCACATGATTTGAACTAATGCATCGATATCCATTTCAGACATTAACTTTGAGACTATTTTTCAACCATCTCTGTTTATCGTAGAAGCAAGAAGCTCCTCCAACCGTTGTAAAGCCACCAGTGAAGAAAGAGAATCAGTGGTTTGACGCTGGAATCGTTAAGGTCACAAACATGGTTGTCACGCACTATTATGTGCCAGCAGATGATTCAGCAGTTACTGATGTAAGTAATGATTAAGTTGCTGTTTGCTGCAATTCAAGTAAAACGTCTTTTGGAAAAGGAAGTGTTATTTAGGACTAATTGAAATCGACTTTAGTGGTAGAGAAATATATTTTGCCAAGGCCAGTAAGTTTGGCACTTTGGCTGATATGATTTGGAAGCAGGATTTCATTTTGACAGTTCTGAGAACTTCATTAGTTTATGTTCTCTGTTTAACAGTTCTATTTTATAATAGAAAAACAAACTACAATATTTTCATAGAATGTCAGCATTTGACACAGTTTTATATCAAGTCTTTGAATATCTAATTGTGTTACTCGTGTCATAATCACTGTGTACTGTATGTAAAATTAGTATTATCTGGTATTTCTTGAGAAAAAGATTCTATGTCCGCATCTGCATTTAAAAAGAAGAGAGAGAGAATCCATATTAGTTGACCACTAATCATCTTTTTTACTGTGACGTTGCAGGATGATTCTGGCGCAATCCCAGACTACAGCCAAATGAAAAAGATCGAGCTTTCTCCAGGCACTGCATACAAGTTTCGCGTGGCCGGTATCAACGCGTGCGGCCGCGGGACGTTCTCCGAGGTCTCTGCGTTTAAGACCTGCTTGCCTGGCTTCCCTGGAGCCCCGTGTGCCATCAAAATCAGCAAGGTTGCTCACTGCAAATGGCTTGCGTTTGGTCTGCATGTGGGTTAATCTTGGTGACTAAAATAGTTTTTACTCTCCCATTAGAGCCCCGATGGTGCTCACCTGACCTGGGAGCCTCCTTCAGTGACATCGGGGAAGATCATTGAGTATTCGGTGTATCTGGCCATCCAGAGCTCACAAACAGTCGAGGCTAAAGCGTCCTCTCCGGCTCAGCTTGCCTTTATGCGGGTGTACTGTGGGCCCAACCCGTCCTGCCTAGTGCAGTCGTCTAGTCTCTCCAATGCCCACATCGACTACACCACCAAACCCGCCATCATCTTCCGCATAGCCGCACGCAACGAGAAGGGCTACGGCCCTGCCACACAAGTCAGGTGGCTACAAGGTGAGGATACTTTGTTTTTTGTTAGCTGGACCCTTTTAACAGACTGTGGTAATGCATTTCCACAGTTATTAACATTGTAAATATATATGTGACCCTGGACAACAAAACCAGTCATAAGGGTCAATTTAGCTGTTTGATCATAAACAATATCTGCAAAGTTAAAGTTCAATGCAAACGGAGATACCGTCTTTTAAAATTCTGGCAGTTTAATGCCTACAAAAACTACTGGTAAGGGACTATAACGAGTTACTTCCCGGGTCCGTTACGCCAAGAACCCAGAATTTTACATAAACCCCGCCTCCGGGAACATGCAGCAAAGGGGGCGAGGCCATGCTGCGCTGCTTTAGAGAAGAGGAAGAAAATTGAGATTTATGCATCATCTGAAAGCTGAATAAATAAGCTTTCCATTGATGTATTATTTAGGATCGGACAATATTTGGTCGAGATACATCTGTTTAAAAATCTGGAATCTGAGGGTGCAAAAATCGAAATATTTAGAAAATCACCTTTAAATTTGTCCAAATTAAGTTCTTAGCAATGCGATTTTTGGCATAAAAGAAAAATTGATAATTTTGTCCCATACAATGTTTTTTTGGCTATTGCTAAAAATATACCCGTGTGACTTATGACTGGTTTTGTGGTCCAGGGTCACACACAACCATTAAGAGCCGTGCTTGCACAGGTTCTGCTCAATCCTCTTCATTAATATTCTCTGCGTCTCAATCGGGCTCAGATTGATAAACAATATAGACTACGTCATTGTTTACAATACAACCGGAGCACATGCGCTATGTTGAGGGGCGGGACGTTTAGACGCACGCTAGAGGCGGTTTAGCCAATCACAACACACTGGGCCAGCTAATCAATCAGAGCCCATCGTGTATTTCTGAGGGAGGGGCTTCATAAAAGCAGGAAATGATCAGCGCGTTCAGAGGAGAAGGGACAGAGCGGTGTGGAATAAAGGTAAATTATGTGAAAAAGAATGCGTTTTTTAACAAACGTAGCATTAACACGTTAGACTGCACCCCATAAACAATCAAGCCTATAAAAAAAACAGTCAACCACACCTTTAAAGATTTAGGTCTGCCCAATTTTATTTTTGCGAGAGAATGATTTTTATCAGGGCAAACTTTGAAGGACTAGATGAAAAGCTTTTCATTACAGGTACATTTAAAAATATTTTATAAAAGAGTTGTGTATACAACATTTAGTTATATTTCTGTTAAGTTTTTTTTTATTTATATATATATATATATATATATATATATATATAGTTGTATCACCACTATCAAACCATTTTAATTTATTGTATTTTATATTATATTTTTTATATAAAAGTTTTTAAATTTAAATTATTATAAAAAAAATTTGAATGTTGAATTTGTATCTGCCATGTAATAGCCTATAAAGCTGATATGGCAATACATTTAAAAACAACCATAACACTATGCTAATACTAATGCTGTTGTGGATTTTTGCTATTGAAACAAATGTGAAGCAAAAAATATATTTGTTGCTTCTATTCATTGTTTACCCAACTATGACAATGACTTCTGAGAACCCTGGAAATGTGAAAAGGGTGTATTTAAAGATCTTTAAGCTATGGAATGGGTTTTGTTTTATTAATTTTATTCAAATATGTTTGCAGAAACCAGTAAAGATGGCTCTGCGGCCAAACCTGCAGCAAAGAGGCCGGTCTCGTCACCTGATATGTGAGTTTGTGGCCATTCTACCTTTCAAAATAAACAGTACCGATCTGTATACCCAACCTAATATGTTGCTTTACCCGTTCAGGAAAGGCGCTGGTCCAAAGAAGGCCAGACCTGACCAGTGAGAGCTCACCGTGACCCTTAACCCCACCCTGTTTATGAGCTGAACCATGACTGAACTCCACCTCCTGCTTCCACTTCTCACCCCATTCCATCCTCTGCAATGAACCGGAAGGAAACTGCAGCCAAAAATAGGAAAACGTTAAAAAAAAAAAAGGAAAACCTTTCCGTTTCCGTTTTTGAGAAATCCGCTCCCATCACTGGACATGTTGGTGCCATGGACGCCTAATTTCCAACAGTATTTTTAAAAAAAAACATAAATGTTCCTCCTCTGAAGCACATACATTTGCTTTTCCTGACAATTTTGTGTAAAGAGATTCTGACAGCAGCGTTCAATCTAGTTATAACTGTATTATAAGATACTCACTCTTTGTTTTCCTCCCTTGATATTCATTTATTTTTAAGCTTATTTCAATACAAGCAATAGATAACAGAAAAATCACTTTGCTCTTCTTGTCAGTTTGTTGATGTTTTCATTATTTGGGCAAGTCTGTATATTTCAACCGCGTGCTGAAAGGAGACGGAGATACGGAGGAGGGCGTGCGGACGGCGAAACGAAGCAGGGGAAACGCATCGAAATCAAATGAAAACTGACAGCACTTGGTGATACTTGTGAGGGAAAAGACTCGGTTCGTTTGGAGAATCTGTAATTATTCATTCACTTCGAGTTCAGTAGCCTGTTTTGCATCACTGTGTGTTCATACATTTGCTGTGAGGGACAATTGAGGACCGCAACGCTGAAGACTAAAAGGACTTCGATCCATGTAGATGAAAAGCATACTACTTGTGCATTGCATCAACTAGATCTTGTATAAAGAGAGAGAAAATCCCAAAAATAGTAAATGGTGATACAGGAGTTCTTTGTGTGTGGTTTATTTTTGTACATTTTTTTTTTTTTTAAATAAGAAAAGGTCTTTCCTTCTCATGTATTTGTGCTTCAGGGCGCAGTTTTAAACCTCACACCTCTCCTCAACATGTTAACTGCTCATCCCTGTAGTCTCCATGCTTGTGGATTTGACATGCGGGCCACAGTGTTTCCCGTGTTCATGAATGATTTCACCTTTATTTTGGGAACTGTAGTGTAAAATTTATGTATTTGTTCTAAACAATGACCCACTTTTGAGGCTTTCTCCACTCAACTTTTTACTTCCTGGCATTTATAGAAGCCTACTTTTATTTTTATTTCCCTCTTGTCATTAGTCTGTAGTTCCTGTACATTTACTTTTCTGAATCTCACGTTTCTTTTTATACTTGTTATAAATTGGGATTCTTCTCAAGCTGTGCGGCAAAAGTTTGAACCATTTTCATTCTCTGCTTCGGACTCTTTGGACTTGTTATGGATGCAGGCCTGTGTAAATGCTAAATTGGTGGAAAGTAAGGAGAGGTTTTGATTGGAATGTCTTTTTTGAATGGAAGTTGGAAACAGTTTGTTCCTGTTTCTAGTGGTTGGGAAATGTTGCAGATGGATTGTTGGCTTAGCCAGAGTTTGAACTCAGTTGTAAATTAGTTCTTTCACGTAGCAAGACATAAAACAAAAAAACTCTTTGCCTTTTTTATATAATTATCTGTAACAAAATGTTTTTACATGTTGCCATCTATTGATTGCTTTTTGTGTCTTGACATAAAAGTAATGGAATTCTGTCTCTGTGTTCATTTGTCTTGTTTTGCCTGCGTTTTTGTTGCTTTGTTGTGTTGCTGATGGTGTCTGATGGTCTTGTCTTCTGAGAAATGTAATGTATAAGAAATATAGATGACCAGCAAGAGATTAAAGATTATTTGTATCAGGAAAAAGAAGAGAAATGGCTTTGGGATTTAATTTAACCTCAATATTCTCTTCCAGTACAGTAAGTAAAGTGAAAATGTACTATATTTTTCCCTCAAATGTCTGTAAAATTATACTGTCATTAACAAAGGTTATTTGGCTCATAAGTGTACAGCATGGATTTAGAAAATGTTTAACTCTATACATGTATGAAAATGCATGTACGTATATGCATATAAAAAAGCACTGCCCATAAACCTAGGGGCATTTCTTCGCTTCAGAATCATTATATATATATATATATGTGTGTGTGTGTGTGTGTGTGTGTGTATATATATATGTGTGTGTGTGTA